CATGTTGTGAGCCGGCAGAGGTGGTGTGGATTTCTTTTCTGTGGCTGGCTGTAGTCTCCACACCTCAGGCCACAGGTAGGCGCATGCCATTCGCTTAGTAACTGTGGTATGATTTTAGCACCAAACTGGGATTCAGGAAGTTCGGCTTTTAGTCCCCAATGAGCCATGTGTGATTTGAGGCCTGTCATGCTCTCTTGTTCTGACCTACCTCACGAAGCTGTTGCAAGGATAAGAAGAAGGGGGAAAAAGACACCATATATATAGGCCATTTTAAGCTCATCGGAGGAAAGGTATAATATAAATGTCACAAATTAATAACAAGAACAACAATAATAATGGTTTTTGGCTAAAACTTGTATTGGTTATATAAAACCAGTCAATGTTTTAATAATGTTGATTGACTGTGCCTGGAATTTTAGTATAATAATCATAATAATCATGACGATGACGATGACGATGACGATGATAATAATAATAATAATAATAATAATAATAATAATAATAATAATAATAATAATAATAATAATAATAATAATAATAATAATAATAATAATAATAATAATAATAATTTGGGAGTGTTTCTTCATAGTAGGGACAGCTTCACATATGTGACGAAGAGGCCCTGCTCATGAAAACCCACCCTGCAATGCGTGTTAGTCTTTTACAGAGACAAATGGCTGCCCATCTGGAACTGAACACTGAGTTTATCCTCTTGTGCTTTTTATTCCTTCTTGCCACTCTGAATACTTGACACAAGATCTGCAGCTCTGTGTGTGTGTGTGTGTACGTGTACACACACACACACTACAGAGGTGGGAACTTTTGAGTGCTCCTCTACCTCCCCTCCACCCCCTGAAGTGATGGCTGACAGGGGGCTACCTTGATGGCACTGAAGTAGGTAGCGTGTATCCACCTCCTTCTTTATTTCACTGCAGGTACAGAGCTTAACTGACAGAGGTCTCTTTTGTGTTGTGGGGAAATAAGAAGAAAGACCTGTGCCTGTGGTAGGAACTCAGAAAGATCCAAAGCCATTCTTAGGTTGCCGTCAATGTATGCTAAAGCACATAGCCACAAACATGAAAGGAAAAAAGGGGGGAAAGAAAGGAAAGAGGTCAAGAAAGTTTGTGAAAAAACTGAGTCAAGGCCTGCGCTTGTTCGGAGCTTGCTTGAGACTGTGGTCGTGAAAGGGTTCTGTAGTAACCTGAGGGGTATTTCGGGGGGCGGGGATGCATCTCATAAAGGATTACACTTCAGCAAGGGGAACCATGAAGGTGTAAAGACACATGCAGAAAGGGCCTGTGGTTCTGTGGGAGGCTTTGCTCTTGGGAACCAGGTGCCTATGTGCATGCAAGTATATCTAGGATTTTATATGCATGCAAATTAATGTTTTACTGCTTGGTAAATACCAGTATTTGCATTCAGCAGCAAATGTGATGCTAGTTGAACTGATACCAGCAAAAAAGAGAATGCGAGTTTAAAAAACAAACCAGTAACTCACAGTATTTTTATTTAACTGATAAAACACAGATTCTCTTAATTTAAAGACACAGAGCCATGTGGTCCCGGTGGCATTCACGTTCCAGGCTGCAAAGCCACCCCAGTGCTGAGTTGACAGCCATGCCCGGGGGCCTCTCTGGCAGCTCTCTGTCTACAGCATGTACTAGGCACTGGCCAGAGATCCTCAGTGGATTTGAAAAATGCTAACACAAGTTGAGGCATGGAGTGGGGGAGCTGTGCGAAACAGCAAGGCTGCAGTGGGGTCCAGGCAGCAGCGATTAGCAACTGTAGGATCCTTTCTCTGCCCTTGAAAAGGGCAAGGACTGGAAGAGATGGAGGAAAGCAACCTGGGTCGGAATAAGGAGGAGAATATACATACCATGGTAACATGAATGTGGAAAGGAATAGTACAGACTAGGCTTGTGCTCAAATACATGCACGCTTGTGTACATGTGTATTTGCAAATTATAGATTCGCGTGCTCTACAAAGCTATGTGTGCAGCCATGCACAAATAAATGTGCGCATGTTATATGTGATACACATTTAAATGTACATGCATGATTTCCTGTTCTTTTACTCCATAGCACATTTAAATGTACAATTTTATATGTGTGCTTATGCATGATTTCCTGTTCTTTTACTCCATACTTTCAACCCAGGCATGTATGTTTCGGAGTTCAGACGCATACCTGTAAGAAGTGCCAACCTGTGCCCATCTTGGATCTCTATGTAGAGAGATGTTATGCCTTTGTCAGCTCCACTCCAGGTGGGCACACCTGTCTGGATGTCCTAGGCTGGAAAAATCCCAGAGTAACCACAAATAATTTTTAAAAGGATTGTTTTATTTGTTTGCATTTGGGGATGTGAAATTGAATCATGAATCCATCCTACCGCAGGGCAGATTTGGACCTGGTTTTGGCTCTTTACAACTGGAGCTCTCCCCCCACACACACACATACACAACCTGCAGGTGTACATTTATACAGAGCTTAGATAAGGTGCCAATCTGTCCTTACAAGCTGGGGACAGATTGTATTTGTCTTCAGTGAGGAAGGGACGGTCACTCTCGAACGGGCCTCCTCAGCCACACTAGACGCTGTTCCAAGACATCTATTCAGAGCACGTTACCATAGTCTCTCGAGACTGAAGGATGCCTACACTTAGATAAGGTGCATTTTTATGCCAGATCTCCCAAAATCTCCTGACTGGCCATGCTGTCTGAAGAGTTCCAGGACATGCAGCCCAAAAATTCAGTACTCCTAGCTCTGTGTTTATAGTCGTGTCCCTGTGGGCACTCACATACATAGTCATGTTCTAGAGTATCAGCTCACCCCACATAAATTGCAGCTCAGCAGTAGTAGCGGCGTCACCGTAATACACACACACACATCTGTAAGTATACTGTATGTATGGATAGCTAATGAAAATGCAGGCATTCCACGTTCATATTTCAATGTAGGAACATAGTGGTATCTGTGAACAGTTGCACCTTTGGAAAAGACATTTGCAGAATTATGGAAGTACAGAGAAGCAGGACTGAAGCAGGCTTTTTCATTTCTTTTGCCATTCAGCAGAAGCTGTAGCTAGGCAGACCTACACTGGGAATATGGTGTTGCCTTTTCGCCTTCTCCTTCTGTACGTTGAGTGCTAGACCCTGATGCAAGGGGAGGCAGAGCTTTATGTGTGAGAGTGGAGTGTAAGCTGTGAGGGGCGCCTCATGTCCTCCTGCCTTGGCCACGCATTAAAGAGAATTGGTTGCATTAATTTTCATTGACAGAAGTATAGTTTTAAATACTTTTCAACAATGCCTGGGTTGCATCACTACCAAGAATGTTTTGCTGTCTGAATTATGTCCTTCCAGCTAATAAGATCCAGCACTTAATTAATTCAGATGCCAATGTTTGCTTTCATCTGTCTCCCCCCCCCCCAACTAGAGGTTGCTCTATTCTGCCTCATGGTATGGCTGTTTGAGATGGCATCTGAAATTATATTGTGTATGCAAAATGAGTTTGTGGTGTTGCAGTGGCATTCTTGAGGTGTTATTTGTTTGGGGGGGATGAATGGCAGTGGCCATTCTGACATTGTAATATGATTGTTGATGCTAAGGCAGTGGTATGTATTGGTGGGCATTCGTGGGAAGTGGGGCATACCCAAAATCCGATTATGACATGTTTTTGTGGTTTGGGGAAGGTATGGTTGATATGGTCTATAATACACTATGACAGTCAAAGTGAACAGGGAGTTGTATATTGCAATGGTGCGGCTGTTTATAAAAATTGGAGGGCGTCAGAACTTGGGAAAGTTACTTTTCAGGACTATAGTGCCCAGAATCCCTCTTCCACCCTGGCCAGTTGGGTGTTCTGAGAACTATAATTGAAAAAAGTAACTTTCCCAACTTTTAGGGGGGCTCTGGTGGTTTTCTGCACTTTTTCAGGTTTCATCAGCTATTAACATTTTAAAAGCAGGAATGGTAACAGCACAGGAGGTCTCTCTGGAGCGCCCTGCCAGGCAGTTTATTAAGTCACCTTCTCTGTTGCAGGGCGGGTCACCACCGCTCACCACTCGTGGTACAAAGGTCTATGTCAGAGACCAATCCATTTTTTCAGTGTCACCAAACAGGATGGCTGTAATGAGATATTTACATAAAGGTGCTACATCCCCGATTTAGCTCAGGTAAAGGTTTATACAGATGCTCGGTCTATATCTTCATGCAGATGAACTAAGTAGAGTCCCCGCGGGCAAGCTGCCTTGCCAACCCGTGGACGCCTGTGCAAACACAGGGGGAAACCAGGTTTGAAATCTGCCTTTTGTACAACCATTTGATGGAGGGAGCCCAGGAACCAGAGAGAAAGGATTGAGTTTCCTCCCCCTGTTTAAAAGGTGCAGGCAAAATCTGAGGAAACTCCTGCCACAAGCATGCAAAGCACGCACAGAGTTTTTATTATGTAATTCTGCCCAGCTGCTGAGACAGAACACCATCTGAGTCTGGAAACTGCCCCTTCCTGTCATTACAATCTTGCCGGCAGAAACACAAAACTCCTGTGGAAGGTAGGAATGGAGATCTAACATCCACAAGGAGTGCCTCCTCAGCTCTTATCTCCCCCTAAGAAAGCCTTGTTATTGTTTTCCGTTGGATAAAAAGCTATGGGCTTTTTCTACTGCATACGTTTGTAATCTGTAGATACATGGCCTCACCGCTCACCAGCTGGCCTGTGGAAAAGGTACTGTATGTGCGAGGCACCTGGAGCTAGCACAGTGCAATTACGGGGCAGAGCTAGGACCAAGAGACCCAGATTTAAAGCCCCACACTAGGTTATGAAGCTCACTGTGTGGCTTGCCTTTTACCTCAAACTACCTTGCAAGATTGCTTTGAAGAGCAAATGGAGACAAGATACATCCCTTTACCTCTCTTGAGCTTGCTGGAGGAAAGGTGATCTATCAGATATAATAAATAAAGCCATTCTTGTGACTGCTGATTGCTCAGAGGTTGAGGGAAGTACTAATGAAACGGCCTCTCTACAAGTCTTTGCCCCTTAGAATTGTCCAGGGAAGGGGGTCATACAGGAAGCATACCCCCCCTAACCTTCACGCCACCTGGATTTTGCCTCATTTTGATGTTACTGCTTTTACTGACCAGGGCTCCCCACCCATGATTGATATTATATCACCCTGTATCCACCCCCTCCCTGATTTCCCCCATGCATCATAAACCCATACATCTACCCCCCCAAGCATTGTAGTGAGGCAAGGGTGGGCAGGGGGCCTTGGAATTGTTGCCACCTCCCCAGAGTTTTTCTGTTCCAATCCTTTGTGGGTCAGAACTTGCAGGAGAGATTTCCCCCCCTCCCCCGCCAGAGATCCAGGGAGGTGGTAAAGCCAAGGAGAGTAAAAGCTGGCCCAAAGGGGGAAAGGTTTCGGGTAGGTAGGCAAAGTAGAGGGGGTTGGGGGGGAAACAGAAGCCAGGAAGCGGGCTCAGTCCGGATAGATGATGAACCCAGAGAAGGTGCTGTACTTGTTGGTGTTCCCACCGTGCACCTTCCCTCCATCCAGCTTGATGAAGACTTCGTCTCCCACGTCCAGGTGCAGGATCACACTGTTGCTCGCATAATCGTAGTTTTGGTCAGCATCCTGTGCAATAGCACTGGCCCGGACCTGGAGGAGAGGAAAAAAAGCAGGCAGTAGGCAAGGGGAACCGACGGAGGGCAGTGAAGGTAGTGTTGAATGCAATTAAAATCAAACCTGCTTCATCCTAAAAGGAACAGAAACTGGCGCATCCTGTTAGCATCCGGTCTTAGAAAGCTGTCTCAATTAAAAAAAAAAGTCTGAGGCTTTATTGAAGGAGTGTTGCTCGGTTTGTCCCGAATTTGGAGCCCAAGGGGGTCGTGCTGGAGTTGTCACATCTCAAAAGCTCTGTTCCATGTGGGCTATGAGGAAGTGTCGGAAGAGGAAGCCCTGATGTTATCAGAGGTAAGAGCAAGGCTTCCCCTGCATCAGTCAGGACAGAAGAACAGTTTATGAAACGGGTCATTCCTAGTAGCCCTTTGCAGGAACCCGCTGAGAGTACTTGACTCCCAAAGGAATGCATTGGAGTTCCCAGTCAGGTGCATTGATCTTGGTCACAGTGTGCATCTTGAGTAGTCCAAACACCATTCCAGAGATCTGCTTACCTCCATTTAAATTGACAATAAGGTGTACAGCAATTGTATAACTAGGACATCTTCTCATCTAAAGAAACTAGATTCTGCAACCTAAATGTGTAGTTGCTGTGTGCTGTCAAGTTGTTTCCAATATTCCCAAATTGTAACAAGGTTTTCAGGGTATGTGAGATGTTTAAAAAGTGGTTTACCATTGCCACCATCCTGTTTTCAAGACTTATTGGGATTTGAACCCTGGCCTCCTGAATCCTAGTCCAACACTCTAGCTGCTACACTGCACTGGCTCTCACAACTTAAAAATAAAACATATCAAATAGAGCTGTTTTTCAGAATCCACCCTCCTGGCTGTACAGATGTGCTAGTAGCACTGTGATACCCTGCATGCTTGGATTTGTTCTCAAACTGTTTCCAAAGGAGTAGTCCCCATTAGTCTGTGTCAGCATGTTGGCAAAAAAAAGAAGAGAAAGAGAGAGTAAATGACGAGGAAACTCAAAATTTTAGCACTTTTAAGACTAGCAGCAAAGATGGGCAGAAACCGCTGGTTCGGTAGTTCAGCATGGTTTGCTTCCTGGCTGAACAGCTGATCCGCAGCTTGTCGTCCCACTCCCCCCAGCGGGTGCCCACTCAGAGACATTCGTGCCCATCTCTTAACTAGCAGGTTGATTTCAGGGACAGTTTTCATGGATCAAAATCCACTTCTTCAGACCTCTCACCACCATGGAATAGATACAGGAGACACATACCTGTACTCCCTGTGTCCGGAGATGTGGCTTTCAGTGTGAAAGCTCACACTGAAATAAATTGGTTAGTCTTAAAAGTGCTACCCCTTCCTGGATGCACGCCTTAGTGTGGTAAAGGGGTCTGAGTGTGTCAGAGAAGCTGGGAGCGATGCCATCAGGAGACCAAACTCCATTATACATTGGAGGCATGACACAGCAACACAAAAGGGCTACAGTATTTTGCCACCNCCCCCCCCCCCCCCCGCTTTTCTTTGGCCAACTTCCTGAACAGCTGCCTGGAAGCTGTCAGCACCTGGGAGGTTCGTCTTTTCAGCAGTTGTGGACCTTTGGTTGAACCAGACAGTACAGTAAACAGGCCATCAGAAGCAGACTGGAACTCTGATGTCAGCCTCTAATAGGATCTTGCCTCAAGCCACCCATTAGCTTCCTTTTGTTTTGTAATTAGTCACCAGGAGGAAAAAAAACACTTTGCATGTCTGCTTGCACATCTGGCAGTGAAAATGCCTTTCTCCTTAATCTGCCTTGCTTTTGAAAAACAAACAGGAGCACCCACAAGCTCAAGACACTGAGTTTTGTTCCAGGTACAAGATTGGGGCACTAATATGATCCTAGACCCACTCCTTCAAGACGCCTGCCTTCATATCCTGAGCAGCCATAATTTCCGCGTTCTATCCTGATCTGTGAGTAGGTTTCTAGGAACACTGGTGCTTGAAGCTTCCTCCTGGGATCCTTTTTGCTACATCCCCCTGAGAATCCCAGGCTCCTTATCTGCGCATTGGTGCAGGATGATGACAGATGACAAGATTAACTATTCAATCTGGCTGTTCTACAGGCTTTCCAGTTTGCATGACAAGAGATCTAAGCCAGAATTGCTGTCCCCTGCCTCAACAGCCTGAGGCTGCAACCTTCCGCACCTAGAATCAAGTTTTATGCAGTTCTATGCACTTAATTCTGAGTGAGCATCCAGAGGAGCGACCAGGTGGCACATCTGTTAAGGCATCTCCTTCAGGGTGGAGAGAGAAGGCAAACTTTGAACTGGTGCCAAGAACTGGGAACACCGTTTTAGGATCCTTTTCAGGAGTATCAGAATATGTATCAGATAAGGGTACATTTGCCCAAGAGTTCAAACTGCCTAAGGGTAGTTTGTGCTGTGCCAGCATTCTCTCCCCCCAGCCACTTTCCCACCAGATTTCTTGGCAGCCTTAATAGTCATCACCATGCCTGTTGCTTTGCTACTTTCTTTTCTGCAGTGGTGTGATTAAAGCCTTCTTTCAACAGATAGCGTTGATCAGCAGACAGCCCTTGCCTGGGCAAGCCAACCCACTGGCTTCAGAGAGTCTTTTCTGACTTATAAATAAAGCATGAAGAAAGATTAAAACGGCCAAGGCTGTTTACCTAAGTGAGAAGGCAATTAAGAGGAGACTTGATCAAAATCCAAACCATTTGCACCAAGGAGAAAGCTTTGCTTTGAATATTGGGGTGGGGTGGGATGCTTGGGATGCTTTTATTCTGTGAAAAGGAGCAATAAGCAAATAAATATCACAGTAAGTCTTCAGCTGGGAAGCAAGCCCTTTACACGGTGGTTTTTAAGACTGCTCCCTAGCATAGAACAGAGCAGGGTTAAAGTGAGCATTGTGGTGTGTGTGTGTGTGTGTGTGTGTGTGTGTGTGTGTGTGTGTGTGTGTGTGTGTGTGTGTGTGTGTGTGTGTGTGTGTGTGTGTGTGTGTGTGTGTGTGTGTGTGTGTGTGTGTGTTTGTTTGTTTGTTTGTTTGTTTGTTCAGTTCCTGCCATAGGAATGGTGATCTCCAGACCCTTCCTTCCAGACCTGTATTCGTGTAAACTTCCATTTTATGCTGACTGTGCAGGAAAAGCTGAAATCGACTGCCTACTTTAAAAACAAGAAGGGAATTGGTGTACAGTGCATGCACTTTCACTGTTCCCCAAACAATCCTGTTTTCTGACTTGGGACATTTCCAGATAAGTGGCTGAGAAGAAGGTAACAAGGCATGCTAGCCTAGCCTCCCTGTTGGCATGCTAGCCCCTCTTCCCCCAAGTTTATGTAACTCCCCCACAGAGATTGGCATACTAGCAATGGGGTTAGAGTCTCTCTCTCTCTCTCGCACACACACACACACACAGACACAGACAGACAGACAGACAGACAGACAGACAGACAGACACACACACACACACACACACACACACACACACACACACACAGAGGAAGAAAGAGAGAGAGAGAGGAGCTGATAGCCCAGAGACCAGGAAACAAACCACCAAGATGGAAAAACAGCTCGAGCTGAGGAGAAAAACCTGGCAGTGAATCACTTATGGGCATAAGCAGTTGAGGGTTGGAAATGCAGGAAAGGGAACAGAGAGCGTAGAGGGGGGAGACAAGAAAGGAGGAAAGTATACAAAGGCTGCAGAGAAAAGACAAAGGGAAAGGAAGAAGAAGGAAAAGGAATAAGAGTAGAACTCAAGTAGGGAGAGACTAGCTCTCAGCCAGATGTTCTGGATGGACAGTTGGGAGTGGATAGAAAAGGAAGGTTCTTGGACAGCAGAGATAGTCAAGTTGATATTGCCAAAAAAGGGGGGGGGGAGACAAAGGAGAAAGCAGGTCCCCTGTAAACCCTCTTACCGGGAAGAGAGGAAGTTGAGAGAGCAAAGGAGGTTGGAAGAGGAAATGGGGGTTCCAGCCTCAGGAAAGGTGATACAGAGGGGATGGGCAGCCATTTTTGGAAAAGATGAAGGATACTTCCTGGACACACGTGGAACCAAGAGAGAAGGACTCCAAGACGGAGAGGGTGATAGATGGCAGTTGGGCTCATCACCCATGTTGCAGTTAGCTATGCAACAACCTATGTATCCCTATGGACAAGCAGAGGCTTCATGGAACCAGCTGATATTAGAAGATATTTTGTTAAATGTTATTGAGAACAGTTTATCTAATTCCCAGCTGTTGGTATCAAAGAACAAACTTTTCAAGTGGTGGTGGAGCAGCCACCTGTTCAGTTAAATAAAGACATTCTTTAAGACCGAACTCAACCATCTCAATTGGGCCCTACAGACAAATGGCTACTCCAGAAATGAAATCACGAGAGCCATCAAACCAAGAAAACAACACCAAACTGAAGAGGAAAAACAGCCACCCGTAAATAAAGTATTTCTGCCATACATCAAAGGGGTCACGGACCACATGGGGAAACTTTTGAAAAAACACAACCTACAAACACTATTCAAGCCCACCAGAAAAATCCAACAAATGTTACAGTCAACAAAGGACAAAAGGGAAGCCCTCACCACTGCAGGAGTATATTGGATACCTTGCAGTGGCGGCCAGGTCTATATTGGAACCACAAAATGCAGCATCCACACCGGAATCAAAGAACGTGAGAGTCACTGCAGACTAAAACAACTAGAAAAATCGGCAGTACTGAACATGCCCTAAAACAAGCTGGACATGAAATTCTATTGCAAAATACTGAAGTACTGGACAACACCAGCAATCATTACATTGGACTGCACAGGGAGGCCATTGAAACCCACAAATACCAGCAGAGCTTCAACAAAAAAGAAGAAAGTTTAAACCTCAACAAACCCTGACCCCCAGCACTGAAAAATACAGCCTGCAAAAGGTCAACGAACTCTACCCAGCCACAAGGACCGGGGATCACTGCACACAAAAGACCAGCTAACGACACCCATCAATCACAGTGACAGATAATCTCTCCCCCTCATCACAACAACACACCCACAA